CTAGTGGCACAGGATACGTTCAAATGGTCTTTCAAAGTTTTGCAATGGGAGCCGGGGCGGACGCGGAAGAAGCGGGACCGCATCGGAAGACCATCGAGGAGGTGGGAAGACGATTTCAAAGTGATTTGCACATGTTAGTTTGGAGATTTCAACGACGGAACTTGGAGAGATCTTGCCGAAATTCCTGAAGCGTGGTCTGCTTTGGAAGGTGACTTCAAGATCCTCCAGCATTGAGGGCGAGCTACAGGTCTAACACCCGCCGCTCGGCGCGAGTTACCGCGCCGTTGTGGCATGCCGCTCTCCCCTTGACCGGGGCCAGCCTTCTTGGCTGAACGGGGCGCATGTGGAGTCGAGTCGAGCAAGAGAGTTCCTAATTACATGTGTCAACGGAGGGCGAGGGGGAGAAATGACAAGAAGGCCTTCTCAGAAGGCGGCGGGACTTCCCCCTCTGACGCCGAGTAGGTGCCACGCCTGCTAGGCCCTGCGACATTGGCGCGTATAGACACCGCGGTGGGGGATCACCCCCTGCGCACCCCCCCTGGCATCGAGAAAGTGCAACGCCTGCTAGGCCCCGCGATATTGGCGCGTACAGAGACCGCGGTGAGGGACCACCCCCTGCGCACCCCCTCTGACGTCGAGAAAATGCCACGCCTGCGAGGCCCTGCGACATTGGCGCGTATAGCAAGAACGCGGTGGGAGACCTCAGAAGCCCTCGCGCCCTCTGAGAAGTTTTTCTGTCCTCGGAGAAGGCTTAGAATAAACTTCTCGGAAGGCCGGGGGTCTTCCGAACCTTCTGAGAAGGCCTTCTCCTTTTCCCTTCCCGCGAGGCAGGGATTTATCCATATCCACCGCCTGGGAACCGACGTCTTGATGCCCCAACGGGCGGTGCATATGGACAAAGTGTGGCCCCCAGGGCCCCGAAAATATCCATATCCACCGCCTGCCGGGGTCCCCGAAAATTGACCCTCCAGGCGGTGGTCATGTATAACTTCCCGCCTCGGACCTCCCCCCCTCGCTCGCCGCCGAATGTGATCGTCGGATCCTGTAGCACGCTGCCTACGCCCACTGCGCGAGCCCCCGCGCCCAGCAGGGGGGCACCACGAGGCAAGACAAAAAGGAGCAAAAGTGCTCCCCGGTGGACGAACCGCCCACCGCTGCATCAACGACAGGAACGGAGCAGGAGGGGCAAGAGGAGGAGGAGGAGGACCAGGAGGAGGAGGAGGAGGAGGAGGAAGATGAGGAGGAAGAAGAGGCCAGGACAAGGAGAATGGAGATGCACAAGGGGGGAAGGGTGGGGGCGGGTCAGACAGGAGAGGAGGAGGAGGAGGAGGGAGGAGGACAAGGAGGAGAAGGGGGAGGAGGAGGAGGAGGAGGAGGAGGAGGAGGAGGAGGAGGAGGAGGGAGAAGGAGGAGGAGGAAAAGGGGGAGGAGGGAGAGGAGGAGGAGGAGGAGGAGGAGGGAGGGGGAGGGGGAGGGGGAGGGGCAGGAGGGGCAGGAGAAGAAGGAGGGGGGGAGGAGGAGGAGGAGGGGGAGGAGGAGGAGGAGGAGGAGGAGGAGGAGGAGGAGAAGGAGGAGGAGGAGGAGGAGGAGGGGCAAGAGGAGGAGGAGGAGGAGGAGGAGGAGGAGGAGGGGGAGGAGGAGGTGGAGGAGGAGGAGGAGAAGGAGGAGGAGCAGGAGGAGGAGGAAGGAGGGAGGGGGGGGGAAAGAGGGAGGGAGGGAGGGAGGAGGAGGAGGAGGACAAGGACTGGGATAGAGCACTAAGCAGCCACTCTTACGCAGGGCGCGCTTTAACAAGGACTCCTACACAAGCCTGCCACTTCGACCTGGCAAGCCTTGATACTAGAGGGAGTGTATTACGTGAGGACAGGGTGGGAAGACATACTGATTCTAACATGGCCTTCATCGCTTCTTGCAGCTGCTGCCCTTGCCGTCGTACGCATCAGCCCAGCGTTTCAGCAGCATCCGATTACAATGCGAGACGGCTTTATTTCCAGGCTGCAGGCCAGCCAATACCGTCTGCGCCAGCCTCACACGCAGCCAACTATACTATACCGTCGAGGGCACTCAACCCGCTTGTCCCAGCCCTCAATACCGCCACAGCTTAGGCCATCCATTATGTATGAGCCAGCTTTTTTACCGATGATCAACGCATTCCTCTATTTTACTGTGGGGATGGGATTCGGGATTACTGAGGATGGAGGCTTGAGATAAGGATATGCTTCGGTCTTCCCCGATCGTGGAGTAGAGCACTAAGCAGTCACTCTTACGCAGGTCGCGCTTTGACAAGGACTCCTACACAAGCCTGCCACTTCGACCTGGCAAGCCTTAATCCTCGGGAGGTGGGTTTACGTGTTGGGGAACTGTGTGGCAAGACAGGCATTGCCAGCAGGTGCAGGCCAGCGCGCATCGCCCGCTGCACCACCGCCACGAGGCGGAGCTACGGCAAAATAGGACAGAGTGTTCCGCCCGCTACTCTGCAACTTATCAACCTCCATCACGACCTTCACCTCTCCTTGCAGCTGCTGCCTATACCATTGCACGCGCCACGCCCGATGGTTGCCGGAAGGGCCAGGCAGTACCACCTGCGCCAGCCCAAACAAGAGCACACGGCCAGGCCAGCCAGTACGCATGCGCCAGCCTCTGCACAGATGCCCAAGCCGCTCATCTCGCTCGTGCCAGCCCTCAGTACCGCCACAGCTTAGGCCAGCCAGAACGTGTGCGCCAGCTTCGTACAGATGACCAGCGCATTCCTCGATTCTTGCAACACCTCACTCACCACTGTGATACTAACGTTTGCCGTTGATTGCCACTTTGGCACGTCGGTAGGGGACAAATCCCCAGGACAAATCTCACTGTGGACTACCGGCAACAGCACACTCATTTAGTCAGAGTGAGGGGGCTGAACCGAACGCCGAACGGTCATTCACTGTCCCGGGGTGCGTGGCTGAAGTGGGATTCCGCGATGCGGATTCTTGTTGCTGTTATTGTTGTTGTTGTTGCTGTTGTTGTTGCTGTTGTTGTTGGTGTTGTTGTTGTTGCTGATGTTGTTGTTGTTGGTGGTGTTGTTGTTGTTGTTGTTGTTGTTGTGGTTGTGGTTGTTGTTGTTGTTGTTGTTGCTGCTGTTGTTGCTGTTGTTGTTGTTGTGGTTGTTGTTGTTGTTGTTGTCGTTGTTGTTGTAATTGTTGTTGTTGTTGTCGTTGTTGTTGTTGTGTTACTGTTGTTGTTGTTGTTGCTGTTGTTGTTGCTGTTGTTGCTGTTGTTGTTGTTGTTGTTGTTTGTTGTCGTCGTCCCACCCGCGACCCGCCCCGCGACCCACCCCGCGACCTACCCCGCGACCCAACCGCGACCCACCCGCGACCCATCCCGCGACTCACCCGCGACCCACCTGCGACCCACCCGCGACCCACCCGGCGACCCACCGCGACCCACCCGGCGACCCACCCGCGACCCACCCGCGACCCACCCCGCGACCCACCCGCGGCCCACCCGACCCACCCGCGACCCGCGACCCACCGCCCACCCCGCGACCCACCCAAAATGTTTGGCGCCTGCGCGGGTTTCTTTTGAAGTCGTTCCAGGTGGAGAACCTGCGACCCACCCGCGACCCAAACCGCGCCCGCGACCCACCCCGCGACCCACCGCGACCCACCCGCGACCCACACGAGACCCACCCCGCGACCCACCCAAAATTATCGGCGCCTGCGGCGGGCTTCTTTTGCATTCGTTCCAAGTGGAGAACCTGCGACCCACCCGCGACCCAAACTGCGTTCAGTGTACAAATCAAAATGTTCGGCGCCTGCAGCGGGCTGTTTTGGAATTCCTTCCAGGTGGAGGTGGAGAGCCCGCGACCCACCCGCGACCCAAACTACGTTCACTGAACAAGCCAAAACTTCGGCGCCTGCGGCGGGTTTCTTTTGCATTCGTTCCAGGTGGGGAACCTGCGACCCAAACCGCGTTCAGTGTACAAATCAAAATGTTCGGCGCCTGCGGCGGGCTTTTTTGAATTCCTTCCAGGTGGAGGTGGAGAGCCCGCGACCCACCCGCGACCCAAACTAAGTTCACTGAACAAGCCGAAAATTCGGCGCCTGCGGCGGGCTGTTTTTGCATTCGTTCCGGGTGGCACCCTGCGCGTCCTGTTAGGAGGAAGAGGAGGAGGAGGAAGAAAAGGAGGAAGAGGAGGAGGAGGTGGAGGAGGAGGCGGAGGAGGAGGAGGGCGCCATCGACAGGGAAGGTGAGGGCCACGAGGTCCGCCGGCTCGACGCCCGCGTCGCCCGCGCCCGCCCCCTCACTCTTATCCGCAATTGCGGGGTGCTACGAGTACATACAGACTTGCCCAGCTGTTTACCTCCAGCGTCGTGGCCTGCTCTATTGTTTCTCTGTGCCACACTGCTCGAAATTCTTCGTTCTGCTTGACGTGATTACTAGGGGCGGCGGTTCTAGCAGGGGATATGTTATGTTACGTTATGGTTTGGTGCTTCTCTCCCGACTCCCAATGGCAGCTTGCTTAGTTACTCTGCGCCCTCATGGGCACCTTCTCCTTTCCCGCTTCTATCTGCACTTCTTGCTTCCGCACTGGCATCTGCTTGAATCTGATTGCACCGGCCTAAGTCGGCATGGTTTGTTCTACCTTGAGGTCTCTCGCACTGACAGGACGCAGCAAGCCTGGCACTAAGTGTCCGCTCGACGCAAAAAGGAAGGAGGAGGACAAGGAGGAGGAGGAGGAGGACAAGGAGGAGGAGGAGGGGGAGGAGGAGGAGGAGGAGGAGGAGGAGGAGGAGGAGAAGGAGGAGGAGGAGGAAAAGGGGGAGGGGGGAGGGGAGGAGGGGAGGAGGAGGAGGAGGAGGGAGGAGGAGGAGGAGGAGGAAAAGGAGGAGGAAAAGGAGGAGGAGAAGGACGAGGAGGAGGAGGAGGAGGAGGAGGAGGAGGAGGAGAAGGAAAAGAGGGGGCGCAGGCCGAGAAGGAGGAGGGAATGAGGAAAAGAACGAGAATTCGGGGGAAAGAGCAGGGAGGAGGGGAAATGGACGAGTGAGGAGGGATGCGCTCGGCGCGCTACGCAGGCCGAGAAGGAGCCGACCGAGTCGGTTTCAAATGCCGCCGGCATCGCTTCGATCGCCCGTGCAACCGACGCGAGCTGCTCTAGCGGAGCCAACCCGAAATGGCAGGGAACAGAGACACAAAAAAAACGCTGCGGGACGCCCCATACCGCGGGAGGCGAGGAGTCGGGGGAGGATGCCGATGCCGAAGACAAAGAAGACGCAGGTGGAGGAAGCAGGAGGGGGGAAGAGGTGGGGAGGTGGGAGGGAGGCAGGGGGGCACGAGGGACGAGGAAGAAGGAAGGGGGCAGGGGGCAGGGAGGGAGGGAACAGGGAGCGTGGAGAACGGAGCGGGGAGCAGGTCACAGGGCAGGGAGCAGGGGGGAGGGACCACCCCGGTCTGCCACACCGTCCCCCCCGTCTTCGTTCCTCCGTCGGCCTGCCCTGCTTGTGCATGCTGCTGGTGCAGGGTGCTGCTGTGTTGCGGGCAGATGTTGGACCTACGACCCTCACGAGCACGATGCCGCGTTCAGCGCAGCGGGGCTGTTGGCGAATAGCACAGCAGGCTGAGAGCCCTGGGGATGCCCTCGGACACTTGACCAAACGACGAGCCAGCTGACAAAGCCTTCACAACAGAGAAGCCGTTGACAAAGCACCCAAGCATTGAGTCAAGAATTCAGCCCGTCTCCACAGACACACAGGCACGCACGCACGCACGCACGCACGCACGCACGCACGCACGCACGCACGCACGCACGCACACACACACACACACACACACACACACACACACACACACACGCACACACACACACATTCTCACACACACACACACACTCATTCACACACACACACACATTCACACACACACACACGCACATCAGAAGAAAAGATGAACCACAACAAAGGCGGGAGGTGCCTCAGACGCATCCAATGTTTAAATGTCTACGTACCATGTGCATGGGCGGCCATTATCATGTGCAAGCTGGGTATGGGGCGCCACGAGTGCTCGCCGCGCGAACCCGACTGTAGCTTACACAGGCTCTGTTCAAACGACATGCAAAATGTCGGCCAGAACGGCCTCGCACGGTGCACCGCGCAAGAAGCTGAAAACAAGCAGAAACAAACCAATTAGACATCGCCACCACACGATTTCCGTCCAATGTGGTGGCGTGCTCCCTCGAGTTTGTAGAGCTGCTGGCAAACGCCGTCTATCTCTCCACGCTCTGAACTGTCCAACCCCTTCCTTCCCAAATCTGCTCAAATGCGCTGCTGAACGCAACATGCTCGCCGCGCGAGATTTTCACCCAGGCGCCGACAACTCGACTGGGCCAAGTGCACGCGTCCCGGTGATGGCTGTGACCGCTCATTCAAGAGCGGTTGCACACGGAAAGCCCATGGATTTCGAGGCGAGCATGGGTGCTGGGACGTGCAGGGTGGAATGCAGAACGGGCCCGGAACATCAAACGTGACACAGACGGGCTGCTGCGCGCTCGATTTTTCCTCTCGGTCGCAGAGCTTTGTCCCGACTGCTCACACGGACCCGAGCGCGCTCACACAAAAGGTACTTGTGAACACGCCTACTGCCTGGACCCGTGAGATACTCACACGCTGTCGTCGCATAGAGTACAGTACATCACTGATCGAGGGGCCGGCGGTGAGGAACTTAAACTCATGGTGCCAGTCGACGCCGTTGAAACTAGAGTACAAAGTATGTTTACATGGTCCTGGCCAGCATACCCTGAGCGGCAGAGGCCGCACTGAGCCGCAGGCCACACGTCGCACGATGTGGAAGGCCCATGGCCGACAGGCCCCGCATGCGCCCTCAACCCCTGCAGACAGGGCCTCCGCAGGCGTCGGGGGCGTCCGAAAGTGAGTTGCCCCAAGAAGAGGGGGGGGTGCGCATCATGGCCCGAGGCACCTGCGCAGACCGGGGGGGGGGGGGGGCAAAAAACGTACTGATTGAAGAAGCGGGGGCCATGAGATCCGGGAAGGTATCATGGCCCTGGCCATGATGCCCACCCCGCCCCCTGGGCATCACCCCCCTCTCGGCCGCCCCCGAAGACACCATGGCCCGCCGCCGAGCAGCAGCACGGGCGTGCCCGCGGTACCACAATCAGATCAGAAACTGCGTGGGAGTGGCCGCGGCGGCACTGATAGACGCCAGCCGCGCCTCTACACCACACAAATCCGAGCATTTAAAACGTGCCAATGAGAGCCTAAGGGTCGACAGACCTCCTGGGGTGGACCATAAAACGGGTGGCGCGCGTGCCGTAGTCTTGCACGGGGGGGGCGGTGAGGGACAGGAGGGCGAATGAGAGTGGAGTCTATTGCCACATTGTGCTTTTGGAGGTAATTTTGTCACCATCATATATGCTCGCATTACCATCACCATCACCACCACAATCACCATCATCATCATCATCATCATCATCATCATCATCATCATCATCATCAGCAGCAGCAGCAGCATCATCATCATCATCGGCCTCATCATCATCATCATCATCAGCATCATCATCATCAGCAGCAGCATCATCATAAGCAGCAGCAGCAGCATCATCAGCATCATCAACACCACCATCATCAGCATCATCACCACCACCACCATCAGCAGCAGCAGCAACATCAGCATCATCATCAGCAGCATCATCATCAGCAGCAGCATCTTCAGCATCATCAGCAGCAGCAACACAATCACCACCGCCCTCGGAATCATCAACGGCATCCTTATCATCCGCAGCATCCGATTCACCATTCCTATCGCTACACGTCCCTCTCTCGCTCCATCGATCTCACCATCACCCCACCATCCACCTCAGCCTGATCATCACAGGCCCGGCCATCCACTGCCGCTCTTCCTCGTCCCCCCTCCTCTCGCGATCATCGGCCTCATCGTCCCGCTCCTCGCAGTCCTCGTCGTCCTCGTCATCCTCATCATCGCCGTCGCGCCATCGACGCCACCGCCACCCTCCACCTACTCGCCATCACCACCACAGGCATCACCACCACTCCGACGACCCGACGTGCAGCCCGATGCCTGCACGGCGGTGCGCCGTGCCTCCTGGCGCGGTCGACCCGCCTCGACTCCCCCCGCTCCGTGCCGATGCGGCCCGATCCGACGCACGCTCCGACCCGACCCGACGTCCCGACGCGGGGGCGGCCAAGAGGGAGGTGATGGCTCGGGGGTGGATCGCATGACCGAGGGCACGATCGCTCCACAGATCTCATGGCTCCCGCTTCTTCTTATGATTATGATTATTAGTCTTCTTCTTATTATTATTAGTATTATTATTACTCTTACTCTTCTTCTTCTTATCAGTATTATTATTGTTAATATTATTATTAGCATTATTATTATTATTGTTATTATGATTGTTGTTATTATTACTACTAGTATTATTATTAGTATTATTATTGTTATTACTATTATTATTAGTAATATTGTTATTACTATTATTATTACTATTATTATTAGTAGGATTATTAATATTATTAATATTACTATTAGTATTATTACTACTACTACTACTACTACTACTACTACTACTACTACTACTACTACTACTACTACTATTATTATTATTATTTTCTTTCCGTGCATCACCTGCCCCCCCCTCCTCGTCCGCACGGAGTCGTTCCGATGTCCCGGGTCGATGCTGACTGACCCAGGGCTGAGGGAGGGAACCAGGGGCGGACAGCTGGAAAGGTCGCCTCCGACTCCCTACCAGACCACCACAACCTAACCCGAAGACCCGAATTTCGGGTGTGGGGGGGGTGCGAGTTCCACACGTGTTTTTTCACTGTTCCCCGACGCCCCCCCCCACTGGGGATGGAGGGCAAATTGGGGCCTTCGGGTAGGGTTGGGGTGGTTTGGTGGGTGGTGATAGTCAATGCTGGCTGATCCCGGGCTGAGGAAGGGAACGTGAGCGTATTCTTATTCGGCGTTTCGACATTGGACGGAGGGGGGGGGGGGGGGCTGGCTCCAGACATCTGCTTAGTGCGGCTGTTCCGATCGGCAAAACAATGAATAAAAAACGATCACAACCAGGGGCGGACAGCTGGAGGAATCGCCTTGGGGCCGAATTTTCCGCCGGCCGCCACTAGATTGGAGCGGACGGAGGCAGATCGGGGAGACGTGTGAGAGACTCGGGCGCGGGGGGCTCGGGCTGGCCCGACGGGACGGTCCAGAAAGTGACGAAAACTGGACCGTCAAAATTCAAAAGTCGGCAAACCCGAGTTTCGGCGAACTCGAACCTTACGTTTCCCCGAGCGGAGGGGGGGGAGGGGGGGGGGAAAGTCGTCAACCGATTGCTCCCGTCGGGCCCGCCTCAGAGCTTCAGCAGGCAGGTGCTACACCCGCAAAAAGCCGAGAAATCCTTTGAACCTAGAGGAACGAAAAACGGTGTAAACATAGATTCTCGGAGGTCCACGAGGACTTCTTGGAGCTGCGCTGGGCCCCTCTCCCTGGCGCGCGGAGCGCACCAGGGGCGGCGCCCGAGGCGCCGCCAGGGGAGCCCAGCGCGGATCCGAGATATCCGCACGGAGCTCTGGACGTTTACGTTTATGCAGGTTTTCTTCTTCAGAAAGAGCTTCAGCAACTAGGCGCTGCACCTGTAGCAAAACCCGGAAGTCCTTGCGTACTGCTTCCTGCCCACTCCCCGACTGAGGGGAATGTTAGGGGGGGACTGGCTAAGGGGGGAGAGAAACATCGACCTGGAATCGGCGATACATCGCCTACACATCGGCGATAAGCTCCCGGTAGCTGATCCCCACGGTCCTAGGCGGGGTGGACTATCGGGCTCCTGCCTGCGATCAGTGGGCGATTGAGCGTCGGTGCGATAGCGATGACGATGACGATGACGACGACAACGACGACGACGACGACGACGACGACGACGACGACGACGACGACGACGACGTCATCGTCATCGTCATCGTCATCCCTCCCGAGCCTCTCCCCCCCCCCCAAAACGTTGCCCCTGACCGATCTCGCACCAGCGCCAGTCGGCGGATGAGGAAAGTGCCGGGATGGACTCATTCGCCTGCGATTGGGGGTCATACTTCAGGGGGTCAGAGTCAGCGAAGGAAAAAACAAGGGAAACATACGTTCTGAGAAGAGCACGGGCCTGGACGAAGCATCCCCAGAGGAACCACCGCGGAAAAGCCGAGGAAGACATGATCTCTGGGACAAGCAATGACGGTCCCGAGCAGGGAAATCCCGAGGAATTGAGCTCACCCTGCCCTGAACCCCAAAAATTTGGACGACAGAGATGGGTACGGAAACAATGGGCATGATTCCCAGCAAGAAATGTTGTCCTAAACCGACAGCGGCCGCTGTTGGGCAGGCGGCCTCCTGTCTCAAATGGACAACGTTCTCGGCGACGCCGACAGCGAGCCCTGTCGAAAATGACGAGGACATGTTGTCGATCGCATCGAGGGCCCGAAACCCTCGAATCCCTCTGCAGATATCTTCGAGGGCGTAGGTTTTTTCGGGGGCCCCGTCCGCAGGGAAGAGTGTGACAACAGCAATATTTTCGAAGACAGATCGCCCGACATGGCACCGCAGGAATCAGAACGACCATACCCAGACCCCCGACGTTATGATTTGTTCAGGACGCGACCCCCAGAAGTCCGAACCCATTCTCCAGGACCGGCTTCTCATCCCAAGTCGTTCTCTGACGGTCCCGAGGCCCGATAAGGGCCCCCAGAGGCCGAAAAGAGCGAAAACCTTCTGTCGTGATTCTTCACCGGTTGAGGGGGCCTGGGTCATCCACAAGATTCACCATGAGTCGGAGGGGGCGGGGGTCCTCCTCCTCCTCCTCCTCCTCCTCCTCCACCTCCTCCTCATCCTCCTCCTCCTCTTCCTCCTCCTCCTCTTCGTCCTCCTCCTCCTCTGTGTCCACCTCCCGTCGCGATTTTCTCACAACGCGAGGGGGTCTGGGCAGGCTGAACCCATGCTTTCCGCAACCCCGCGTCGATCGCCCCGAGCAGCAGGCGCGGGAAACACACTATGGGCCCGACCACAAGAGACCTTCCGCAAGAAACCCCACCCTGAGACCCCAGGCCGTCCACTGGCATCTGGTGAGGGAATGCCATGTTTCCCACATCGCAAAACCACCGAAACCCAAGAAACCCGGGGCGCCCTGGAGGCACGCAGGGTGTCTCTCGGTATGGGTCTCCACTGTACCCTCGCGCTGCGCGAAAAACGCAAAGTGCGGGTATCTCACCGCTTGTGCGCCGTCCCCCTGAGAGCTTCTGGGGAAGAGCGCTCCCCCGTGCCAGACCGCGAGGTGCGAGGCGCGACCATGTCAGAGCTCCCCTCTCCTGGTGGGTATCTCTTCTGATCGCCCCGAGCCGAGCCTCAGGTCGGGCCTGTCCCCCTACAGGCGGATTTTGGAGGAACATTTGTTCTCTCTCCCTCTCTCTCAATATATATGTATATATATATGCAACAACTCATATATTATATATATATATATATATATATATATATATATATATATATATATGTATATAAAATCCAAATAAATCACTCTCTCACCACACACACACACACAACACACACACACACAACACACACAAAACACCCCCATACTACTTCTGGACTGTTTCTCCTCCCGAGGGACAGGCCCGACTGAAAAGCCGAGCCCGCGCCGCAGGCGCGGGACGACATCCCCCGCCCCCTCGGGAGGAGGAGCGGCGGCGGCCGCGCGCCGCGCCCCTGCTGGAGCGGAGGCGCCGCGGCGGCCCCTCCGCCGCGCGGGAGGCGGCCGCCGCCGCCGCCCCCCGAGGCGGAGGGGGCGCACGGTGGCCGCACGCGCGCGCGCGCCCGAGGCGCCTCCGCCCCTCGCGCGTGCCTCTCGACGCCGCGGCGGTCTACACTGAAGGGAAACTGGGACACACAAAAAATAAACACAAATAAAAAGATTCCCCATTTTTTTCCATATTTTCTGGATTTTTGTCTTCCCCCCCACTTCCCATATTTTCCCATATTTTCCTGGGACTCGACGATTAATTGTGTCTGTGTGTTTCTTTTCCTCCTGATACACTGAGGTCGGGCATGTCCCCCTGGAGGCGGATTTGGGACGAGAGCCAACCCCGAAATGCCCCGAGATGATGAAGAACAGTCGAGACATCGTCCCCAGACTATTCTTTCACTACTTTTAAATATATTCCCCCCGCAGAGGGACAGGCCCGACTGAAGTCTACGCACAGGCACTCTCCCACCCGGACCCCCTCGAGCCGTGAAAAAAACACGACAACAGGTGTTGCCCCATGTTCGGCCTCTGGCGGCCCTGCTCACCCGGCCTCGGGACCGTCAACAAAAACGACCCAGAATGGAAAACCGGTCCCGGCGAACGGGTCTGGAGACCCCGGGGGGTCGCGTCTTGGAAAAATCATGACGCGTCGGGGATCTGGGCACGCCGCGGCGGTCTGCACACAGACACCCTCCAATGTCGGGGGCGCACAGACACGGATTAGCGATCCATGGACTTGGCGCACGGTCGCCAAACCCGTGGATCGGGAGAGGGGTGCCCTCCCCAAGATGCGGCAGGTGCCACCGCCTCGCTCGGCAGCGGGAAACCCGCGATTCCTCATGGAAGAGGGACCCGGCGCTGACCCACGCCCCCTTGTAGGGAATCCAACTCTGACCCAGCTTCCGACCTTGACCCATGCCTGCGACCGCCCGACCCTGGACTGCTCCTGGGCCTCGGGGCACAGCGGCAGTGTATTACCGCACGCTCGGCCAGGGCGCCTGCCCCTCGCGCGCGCCGCTCTGCGCCGCGGAGATCTGCGCTGAGGTCGGGCATGTCCTCCTACCGGCGGATTTTGGAAGAACCATAAAAATAGCCACAGCCACAACAACAACAACAACAACAACAACAACAACAACAACAACAACAACAACAACAACAACAACAGACAACAACAACAACAACAACAACAACAACAACAACAACAACAACAACAACAGACAACAACAACAACAACAACAACAACAACAACAACAACAACAACAACACCAACAGCAACAACAAGAGCAACACCAACAACAGCAACAACAACAGCAACAACAACAGCAATAGCAACACCAACAACAGCAGCAGCAGCAACAACAAAAATCTGAAAAGAGTCGAATCCACAGACCGTTCTTCGACTATTCTCGAATATTCCTCCTGTAGAGGGACATGCCCGACTTAAATCTACACACAGACACCCTCCAATGGACTGCTCCCGGGCCTCGGGGCAGGGCGGCGGCGTGGTGTTGGATATCAGGATATCACCGCCGAGAGCCCGCGACTCTTTCTACACCGCCGCCCACCTCCTTGAGGGCACAGATGCGAAGTCCGTCGGAGTGGGGCGGCGTGTTCGTACAGCTCTCGCGGCGTCTCGCCACGCAAACAGATACAGTCAACCCGTATGGCAAGGATGCGCGATTCGGATGCAGGGGCCTTGGGCGCCACTTTCGAGGCTTTCGAGCGGGGCGCGGCCGACGACCGTGGCGAAGGATGGACCAAGGAGGCAAGGATGCGAGGGTACCCTTGGGAAGGTTGCCCATCTTTACTATGCGGGTTGACTGTGCTCTGGATCGCTTAATAATCGCCCCCCCCCGTGGAGTGCCACGGGGGGTTGGACGCGGCGCGTCCGCAGGGGTGCCAGGGGGCGTCTGGGGTTCGTTCCCTTCCCCGCTGGGGCGCGGGGGTGGTGCCGGGGGGGGGTTGGCCGCGCCCGTTTTCACTTTTGTCACCCCCCAGTTGATTAATAAGAAGTTCGGAGTACACAGCCACACTCCGACGGACTCTGCGTGTACCTTCCCGGAGGGCGGCGGTGTAGAAGTCGCCGGCTCTCAGTGGTGATCTGTACACCGCCACCCTCCCACGAGGCCCAGGGACAATCCACTGGAGGGTGTCTGTGTGTAGTTGCGTGGCGGACTGAGGGGGCGCACCTACGGTCCATGGTCAGGAAAGGTATGGCTCAAGTTGGTTGAAAAACGCTGGCCCAGAAACGCTGGCTCATCGGCTGACCGACTGCTACCACACTGCAGCGTGCCGCAACCCACGGGCGGCGAGCATGTCCGCAACCGCACCCTCGCGGTCTGCGTTCCGGGGCGCGAGCTCCGCGGATACGCGATCGCACGGATGCGCTCCGCGCGTGGCCTCCGCGAGCACAAAGCCGCCCCTAACATCCGCGGGGCCGGGGCCCCGGGAGGCCCGGCCCGCGAGGGGCCGCGGCTGCGGACTTACGTGTGCTGTTCGCCCCGACGCGGCGGCGGCCCATGGCGACACACTGCGCCCTGCTAGCGGACAGCGTGTCGCTCCGCTTATCGGGGGTGGCAAAGAGGGGGGAGGGGGGGGGGGGATGTCAGGGCGGGGGCCATGCTATCTCCCCAGACTTCACGGCGCCTCCTCTTCGCTCACTGTGCGTTCCTGGCCCCCCCCCCCGCCCGGGCCGCGCACACGCCGCCCGACATGAGCTGCGCCCCCCGCTTGGACGCCCCCCCCCCTCTTGGCCGCCCCCGAGCTCCGCGGGGCGGGGGGGCCGAGAGAGGCTCGGGGCGCTGACGCGCGGCGGCGGGGGGGGGGGGGCGGAGGGCGCGCCGCGCCGGGGCGCGGCGGGCCAGGCAGGGCGCGGCGCGCCGAGTCGAGGCTCCCGGCCAGGACCTTTTGCTGGGGGGCGAGCTGTGTGCTCCCAGGCCCAGACGTGATCGCGCCGTGGAAGAATCAGGGCGGGCGGTTTTTCACTATGCTCCGCCCTGGGGGCCCTCGCCGAGCCTCGGGAGCGTCAAAAAACGACTCGGGATGAAGAGCCGGCCCTGGGGAAAGGGTCCAGACTTCCGGGGACGCCGTCCTGAAAAAATCAGGACGTCGCATGTCTGGGGACGTCCCTTCAAGTGCCCCCGAAGGTCCCCGACACTCTGGAAGGTGCACGCTCGGCCCCCCACCGCTCGGCCCCCGCTGATGGCCCCCGTGGCCCCCTCCGTCCCCGCGCCTCGGTTCCCGCGGCGTCCCTCGCTGCGCTGCCTCGGCGTGAGGTCACTGAGCCCCGACGAACGGGCGCTCCTGGATCCTGCACACGCGCTGCTCGGCAACCAGGCAGCGCAAGGTCTGAGATTCCACGGACCAGTCGTTAGGCGGCCAGGAGCTGGCCGAGCCGGTCGAGACCTGCCGCGAGAGGCCCATCGACGTTGAGCCGGCGGACAGCTGCCTCGAAAACCGGGTGGAGGCGTCATCATCGAGCTCGCCTTAGGTCGGGCATGTCCTCATACAGGCGGATTTCGAAGGATTTAATGCCACAAACAAATTACCAGAAATAGTCGAAAAATCCTCCCCTGACTGTTTTTTGCTATCCTTGAATACTCCTGCTGTAGAGGGAGGACAGGCCCGACTCAAAGCTCGCCTTTGCCAGCACGCTGGGCGGGCGCCGGCTTGGCCGCGGCGCGGCCGGAGTCGCCGGCGCAGCTGCCGCAGGCCCTGCTGCGGGCGCCGTCGGCGCTGCTGCCGCTGAGGAGCCGACTCGCCGCCGAGTGTCTGATGCGCGCGACGCCGTCTTTGGACAGCTGCCAGCGGGTGTCCACGGCGATCGCCAGGCCGCGGCGGGCCGCGAGGGCCGGCATCGCAGCAGGCCCGCACGGCTCACAGAGCCGACTGCTCGAGGCCAGCTGCTGGCTGCGCGGGTGGCGCGCGACAGGCGCACTCCGCGAGGCAGTCCTTGGAAGAAGGCAGAGCGGCACAAACACAAACTTTTGGCGCTCCGCGTGGATTCCTCGGATCCGCACCAGACACCCCTCCCTCACTGGCGCGCGGAGCGCGCCAGGGGCGGCGCCAGAGCATCCGCGCGGAGCGTCAAGAGCTTTTGTTTATGGCGTTTCTTCTTCTTCTTCTTCTTCGAGTCCTCTGGGCGGGCGTCGAGAGGGACCAACTGCTGACGCGGCCGGCAACCCTCGAGGGTGCCTGTGACGTGGCCGCACCTCGTGAGGGACTGGCTGCGGCCAGACGAGCGCGAGCTCCTCTGCAGGCGCCGCGGGGCGGTGGCTGCACCGGCCGGCGACGGCTCGAGCCGCACGGAGGCCAGGGGCATCTGTTTGTCGGTGGCGCAGTCGACCGCGGGAAGGCCCGTGTCGGGCAGCTCTCTGCCTCGGGAGCAACAGTGCAGACTCGGCCTGCTTCACCCTGCGGAGGGAAGGACGAGGGAGAGGAGGGGGAGAGGAGGAGAGAGAGAGCGGGGAGGGGAGCGGAAGGGGGGAGATGGTGGGGAGGCGCTTCTGACGCGCTCCCCGCTGCCATACTTGTCCGTCCTCCCGAAGCGCTGCACCAGGAGCCCCAGCTCAGCCTCGGAAGAGAGAGAAAAAGTACACCACCACCACCACCACCATTAGGTCGGGCATGTCCCCCTACAGGCGGATTTAGTAAGGAAAATGAAACAGATTCCAAACTTCTTCAACAATGGCCAGAAAGAGTCAAAAAATCGTCTCCAGACTACTGTTTGACCTATTCCTGAATTTCCCTCCTGTAGAGGGACGTGCCCGACTCAACACCACCATCAGCATCCGCTGGCGCGGCCTTGGGCCCAGATCCTGCTGGGTGTCGGCCCCCGCCAGGCGTGGGAGGCCAAAACCACTGAGACATCTGGGCCCGAAGGCGGGCCCGTGGAGGCGTCCAGGTCACACACAGTAGGAGCACGACCACGAGAAACCGTCCACAAGAAACCCAACCCTGAGACCCCAGGACGTCCACTGAAATTTGGTGTGGGAACGTCACGCTTTCCATGGCAGAACCATCGAAACACACGATACCCAGGGCACGTTGCAGGCAAGCAGGGTGTTTCTTGGCATGGGTCTCCACTGTACACTCGCGCTGCGCGAAAAACGCGAAGCGCGGTTATCTCACCGCCTGCGCGCCGTCCCCCCGGGATCTTCAGGGGAAAAGCGCTCCCCCATGCCAGACCGCGAGGTGCGAGGCGCGACCATGTTAAAACTCCCCTCGCATAGGTGACCTGGAGGCCTTGAGGTGGTGGATATCTCTTCTGATCCTCATCAGCCGTGGACTTGAAATTGAACCGCCGCAGTGGATGCGACGCCAGCATGCTGGCGGTTTACTGTCTGCTGCGATCCTCTGCGAAAGGCGTACCCAGCTAACCCCGAGCTAATACGGCTACGGAGAAGGCGAAATACGGTGACATCGACGACAACGACAGCGACGACGACGACGACGACCACGGCGGCAGCGACGACGACGACGACGACGACGACGACACCAGGGTGGCACTTCGGCAAAGCTTTTCAACAAACATTCCGCCAGAAGTGGAACATCCAGATGAGTTTGTTGAGCTGCCAGCCCCTTCTGGCGACGACGGCGACGACGATGACGACGAGGACAGGGCGTGGGCACACGGACGAGGAGGAGAGGAGCAGGGGCAAGCGAAGGATCCGCCAACGAGCCCTGCGCCCTTAGTGCAGTGCCCCAAAGCTCGGACAGTTGTGGGAGGCGAAGGGAATGTACAGTCATCGTGGTACCACAAAGAGCGCTGAACCAGAAACGAAAGAATTGCTCTGGCCACGGCGAGCCTCGGCTTCGTATAAACTCCCCAACCTGGATCTAAAGAACGACTCGAAAACCAGAACCGCTCTTGAGCCTAGAACGGTCCTGATGTCAGCGTCTTGACTGTACACTTGTGCGGGGTGGAGAGATTGCAGGGCCCTTGAAGGCTCAAACCCCCGATGTGCCAGAATCGCCTGGCCTTCTTGGACTTCCCTGGCCTTCTGCAGTGTGGCGCACGAGACCCTCGGCGCACAATATATGTGTTGCTTTTCGGAGGTTGGCGCCCGGCCGTGACGACCGAAAAGACCTCGGAGAACCCCCAGATTCTCCTTGGATGCCCCGAGGAGACCCCTCGTGAGCCACCCTGGAGACCCCACTGGAGTCTCACGGCACACGGCGGCGGAATCAGACACAGACCAGAAGGCACAGTCTGAGTCCTTCAAACATCAGCCTGCAGAAGGTCACGGCCGCGTTTTGGCCCCGAATCGCGACGACGTCCACGAAGACCGCCCACGAAAAAACCTGATTACGGAATACACCCTGAACCAGGAAGACTGTCCTTCTTCCAACGCTTCAACTGCATCGGGATGAGGAAGAGGAGGCGGCTCGCCACATTCTCACCTGCTTCCCCTGGCTGCCGGGCCCCAAGACGAGAAAGTCCCACACGCGCTGCACTAGCTGATCTATTTTTTTTCGCGGCGACTCGACACCACCTGGCAACGCTCGCGCGAGAAGGCATGACCCCCCACGGAAAAATTGTTTGTCCATAAAAAGGCCACGCATTGCGGTTGCACAAGCAATACAATGCCAGCAGGTGGGGTGCGTGGCTGCACAGCAACGCAAAAATAAATACACAGCAACGCAAGCAAAGCATGCTTAGCATCGCCTAGCATATGATGGTTTACAAGCACTCGTAACGTTGAACCGAGTTGCAGAACGCAGAAAGGTCACAACATGTCATAGCAAAGCACGGCATTGTAAATAATGGAACAGCATCGCGTTATTCATACGGCATGATATGGCGTTGATTGGCACCGCATGGTTAGGATATTACAGCGGCGCGTAGCATTATAATCGCAGTGTATAGCGAAGAATGGCATCGCATACCACAGCATTGAATGGTAGCTACGTCTGACCAGTATAGCGTCGTGTTGTAAAAGGCTGGACCCATGACATCAACAACTCGAAAAAAGAGAGAGAGAGAGAGAGAGAGAAAGAGAGAGAGAGAGAGAGCGCGCGAGTTTCACTGGCGCTTGCTTATAAAAAATACCCACCCACATGCCCTAGGGTTCGAACCTGGGAGGGAGGGGGGGGAGCCACCCCCCCTCGGAACCAGGGGGGGGGAAGGCGACGACGACGACGGAAACGACGACGACGACGACGACAACGACGACGACGACGACGACGACGACGGACGACGGACGACGGACGACGGACCACGGACGACGGACGACGAAGACGACGACGACAACGACGACGAAGACTCGGAAGCGGCGACGCCGACAGCGAAAAAAACAACGACGATGACGCGCCGACGACGACGACGACGACGACGACGACGACGACGCCGAGAACGATGCCGATCAAGACGCCGACGCCGACGCCGACACATACGCCGACGCCGACGCCGACGCCGACGACGACGCCGCCGACGACGACAACGACGACAAGCAGGACGCCGAGCACGACGCCGACCACGACGTCGACGACGGCGCCGACGCCGACGCCGACGCCGATGCCTGGGATGACGACGACGACGACGCCGACGCCGACGCCGACGAAGAGCACGACGCCGACGACGACGCCGAGCACGACGCCGACGCCGACGTCGCCGACGATGATAATGCCGCCGACGCCGACGCCGCCGCCGCCGACGACGACGACGCCGACGCCGACAATGACGTCGAGCACGACGCTGACGCCGAGCAGGGCGCCGACGCCAGCGACGACGAAAACGACGACGACGACGACGACGCCGCCGCCGACAACGACGACGACGACGACGACGACGACGACGACGACGACGCCGACGCCGACAAAGACGACGAGCACGACGACGAGAACGACGCCGACGATGACGACGACGACGACAACGACGCCGACACCGACGCCGGAGCCGACGACGACACCGAGCACGACGCCGACGCGGACGACGAGCACAACGCCGACGACGACGACGACGACGACGACGACAACGACGCCGACACCGACGCCGGAGCCGATGCCGACACCGACGACGGTAACGACGACCACGCCGAGCACGACGCCGACAAAGACGACGACGACGCCGACAACGACGCCGAGCACAACGCCGAGCACGACGTCGACAACCCCGACGCCGACGACGACGACGACGCCGACGCCGACGCCGAGCACGACGCCGCTGCCGACGAAGAGCACGACGCCGAGCACGACGCCGACGCCAACGAGGACAACGACGACAACGACGCCGACGAAGAGCACGACGCCGACGACGACGACGCCTACGACGACGACGACGACGACGACGCCGACGCCGCGACGACGATAATGACGACGACGACGACGCCGACGCCGACGACGACGACGCCGACGACGACACCGAGCACGACGCCGACGCGGACGACGAGCACAACGCCGACGACGACGACGACGACGACGACGCCAGGCACCGACACCGACACCGAAGACGACGACGACGCCGACAACGAAGCCGGTCACGACGCCGACACCAAGCACGACGCCGACGACGACGACGATGACGATGACAACGACGCCGAGCACGACGCCGTCGTCGTCGCCACCCCTCCTCCCCCCCCCGAGTTTCGAACCCGGGGGGGACCCTACAGGCAACCACAGAAAGCGCTCTTTCAAATCTCACAACGTGACACATTGCATTGCGCAGCGTGGCGCAGGATGACACATCCATCAGCCACATGGCTCCACACAGGAGTGCCTCGCATAGCGAACGATGGCACAGCAGGCCATGGAACAGCATGCCGTGCCACAGCATTACGTTGCAGAGAATAGCACGGCAGTGTACACCACGCGAAATGGTTAAGAAATCATGGGTTAAGAAATTCATGGTCTCAGAACTTGAATAAAAACCACACTATTCTATCAAAATCTTAGGATTTACATTGAAACGTTAAGAATAATCGAGACTCTGGCCGAAAACTTAAGTTTTCTTAAGCATCGCCTAAGGTGTATAGCGAACTGTGCACCATGGCACGGCATCGCCAGCAGTGGCCACACATTGACAGCGCCCGGCACGGCAGAGCACTGCGCCGCACCGCAGGAAGGATTTTGGCACCCCGGGCGGCCCGGGGGGCCCACGGGCCGACCCCGAGGAATGAAACCCAGGCGCCCAGGGCGCCGGACGCCCCGACCCAGAGGGGCCCCAGATTTAGGTCGGGCGTGGCCCCCTGCTGGGCGAGCAACGACATATGTACATGTACGCCCTCCGCGGTCGTGCCTGCACGAACGTCCGCGTTGACACGCACGTCCGCGGGGAAACTAACCACGTACGTGTACATAGGTTGCTGGCCTCTGACCTGCAGGCGGATGTTGGGCGAAACATTGAAAATTGCACCACAAATAAGACAAACATGCTCAAACATATCTTTGAACACATCGTGCCCTGACTATTTCTTGACTATTTTTGAAGGTTCCTCCTGTAGAGGGACGTGCCCGACTCAACCCCAGCGACCCCATACGAACGCCTTCGTGTGCCAAGGTCCCTCAGTGAACGCAAGGACCCCGATGCCGAGCGACCCCAACGAGCCAACTGTGGCCACTGGGCTTCGTGAACAGAAGAATCAAAGGCCCCACAAGATGGAAAGTGAGCACGAGCAGGGACAGGAGGCGGCTCCGACACCGTGATCGTTCGATCTGTGGGCCCCAGAGCTCCCGATACCTTCCCCATGCGGACAGTTTCTCGTCGCGAGTGGACCTTTGCTGGTGCCACGCCCGTCCCGAGAACAACCCTCGGGCTCCCAGACACCAGGCGGCTCGATGTGTTCAAGGCTACTAGCCACCTCACAACTACTAAGGTCCGAGTAGATGGGGTGGGAGGATCGAGCCGCATCGCCGATGCATCGGCGATGCGGCGTCTTGGCGAGGCGGCGTCTGGTGGAGCCAGATCTTCTCCACGCCGACGGCGCCGCCACCGTCGCCGTCGTCGTCCTCTTCCTCTTCGTCATTATCGTTTTCTTCGTCGTCTTCGCCGTCGTCCTCGCAGAGGCCAACCCTGACACCCGACGTTGAAAAAATACAGCATTGCAAACACAACGCGACTGGAGCTGATTTTTCGAACCGGATCGATCTGACAGGTCCCCAGAAGAGCCAAAACACCCGCTGTGAAAAAAATGCAGCGCCAGGGTCTCAGGGGAAATCGTCTGGAAGAGGCCGCCTGGGGTGCAAGGCTTCCCGCCGGTGCCCTGCCGGGCCGGCGGCCTCCGGGCCACCACCATGCGCTCGAAGCGGGTAGGGCTCTTTACCCTCGCGCGCTGCTGCACCTTCCGCGGGGCCGCGGGGGGGGGGGGGACGAGGGAGGGAGGGAAGGGAGGGGGAGGGAGGGAGGGAGGAGGGAGGGAGGGAGGGTGGTAGGGAGGGGGAATGTGGTAGGGAGGGAAGGAGGGAGGGAGGGGGGGGGGGCAGGAAGGGAGGGAGCGAGGGGTGGGGGGGAGGGAGCGCGGGAGGGAGGGAGGGAGGAAGGAGGGACGGAGGCAGGAGGCAGGAGGGGGGTGAGGACGGAGGTCAAGGAGCGGAGAGGAGAATGGGAGGAGGGAGGGGGCTGGAGGGAGGAGCTGATCGTGATGCGAAGGAGAAGCGAGCTCTGCAGGGAGGAACTGGGGAGCCAGGAGGAGGGGGGTGGCAGGAGGGAGGGAGGGAGGAGGCACGCTGCCAGGAAACCCCACCAGCGCCAAGACGCTGGGAAGGGTGGTTCCCGCCCTATCCCTGGCCAGCTCCGCGGGCGAGCTTGCCTTGTAGCCACAAACTGACCCGATATACTTTCACGTGCATACAACCATGTGCCAACATATGTATGTATATATATATATATATATATATATATACATATATATATATATACACCTATACGACCACCCTGCGGGTGATAAGGAGGTTTTGGGGGTGGGGCAGCAATGGGCAAAAGTGGCGATTCTTGTTCTGACGATGCCTGTGGGGCGGAGTCTAGCGAGTAGTTCGATGTTGCACGTGAGCGTGCCGAAAAGCACGTCCAGGACGCTGACAACCCAGTGCAGGAAAGACGGTTTGGCGAACTTGGACAACAAGCCATCCCCTGGCAAGGCCTGGGGAACGCGCGGTCCAACCACGGCGGGCGCATGTCCCGAAGCAACACCAACGTCACGCACCTCGCGGCCTCGTCTAGCAACTCCTGTTTTTGGAACTGACGTACGCTCTCGACAGGCCCACCGCCTCTATGTAGTCCTCCACGAACACCTCGCGGTTGGTCTTTGGGTACGTGTAGTCGGCGCGGATGCGCGGCCCCTGGAGGTCGGACCCGGTGACACCGACGACACTGGCCGACCAGGTTGGCCGAGATGCGCCGGCAAAGCCTGGTGCACCGCTCGCCTGGGTGGAACTGTTCTTGTCCCTCTTCAACGCGACCAGCCGGAACGTCCTGTAGAAGGCGTAGATGGCCTTCGCCGTGTGCGTCCGGCCCAAGTCCCAGAACAGCTCCCTCAGCGTCATGACCGGGCTCATCCGACACCACTCGTGCGTCTTGACCGCCTCGCACGGAACGCATACCCTGCTCCACTGGCTGGCCCAGGCGGGCATGTAGACCTGTGGGTTGATCTTTTCGCCGTTGTTCATGGCGGCGTCTTCGCGTTGGGCCTCTCCGTCGATGGTTTTGGCGATGAGCTCGGACCAACACCAGCCGTACTCGCACCACCCCTTCGGGCGTGGCCCCACGGTGTAACCACCTTGCGCGCACCAGAATTGGGGATTATTGAAACGCGCGGCACTGGCAATGCCTGGTGCGACCTTGCGAATGCACCACTGCGTTCTGCACCTGTCCGCCACCTCGACAGAGTGGTGATTCACCAACCCCACCAGCGCTTTCGATGGTCCGTCGTCGTCCTCCAGCTGGTTCGGCGACAACTTGTGCGCTGCCTTGTCCGGAAGCTCCTCGAACGACGTCTGGTAATGCTCCCGCAGCGCGAGCATGCGCAAGCGGCCCCCCTGTCCCCGCGCATTTGGAGGAGGCCGCGCCAGGTCCTCGACGCAACGAGACCACGTAGATGCCGCATTCAAAAACTCGTTCGGGGTCATGACCCCCGCGCCGGCACCGATCAGCTCGACGCACGCCAGCTCACGGCCGAAGAACATGTCCCGCGTGTCCAGGCCACGGACACCTGTCCCTCGGCGCTCCTGATGTGTCCGCCATGCCTCGCGGCGCATCCTGTCGAGGTTGTCCTGCACCTCGGGATCGTCAGGTTCATCGATAACGCGGTACCACACGTGCTCCACGCCGCGAACCTTCATAGCACGAACGTCGTCGAGGGCGGCGTTACTGGCCTGTGAAGGCTCTAATAGGCAGGCAACTGGAGCTTCTGCGGGCATGACCCAAGCCCCGCGAGGGCGGCCCGATCCCCGTGAGCCGCCCGCGGCCAAGAGCGGGTTTCCCGCGCGCGTTGCGCGAGCACTTCTGAAAACAAGCGCGATTTCGAACTCCCTCCGTGGCGGCGGGGCGGCGAGCGGGCCACGCCCCGACGTATCAAACGCACAAACGCACCGATGGGCCGAAAAAGAAACCTTTCACAGTTGCTGGCGCATCCCGCGCCCGCCCGGCCTAAAAGACGAACGGCGTTGCCAGGGCCTTCCTACATGAAAACGCACGAGACAAACACGAAAAACAAAAAACATTCACACATCTTGCAAGAAAACGGGAAAAAAAACAAAAAAAAAAAAAAAAAAAAAAAAAAAAAAAAAAAAAAAACGAGAAGGCACGAAAGAAGGCACGAACAAGCACGACAACACACGAAAACGGCAAGAACACGCACGAAAAAACACGAAACAAGGCACGGAAAAAATGCACGAACAGGGCACGAACAAAAACATGACAAGGCCCGAAAAAGGCACGAGAAAGGCACGGAAAGGCACACACACACACACACACACGCACACAAAAAAAACACGAAAACATACATAAAGCTACAAAAAAAAGCACACAAAGAACACGAAAAGGCACGAGCAAGGCGAGCAGGCACGAAAAAGACACGACAAAGCACAGAAAGACACGACAAAAGGCACGAAGAAGCACGAACAGGCATGAGAAAAAGACACGAAAAAGGCACGAAAAGGCGCAAACAAAAATACCAAAAAGGCATGAAAAGGCACGGGAAAAGATACAAAACAACACGAAAAGGCACGAACAAGCCACGAAAAAGCACGAAAAGGCCAGAAAAAAACACGAACAAACACTAAAAGGTACGAAACAAACGACGACAAAACACGAGAAAAGCACGTACAACATACGAAAAAACATGAGAAAAGCACCAACACAACTAAAAAAACACGAAATGGCACAAACAAGGCACGAAAAAGCACGAAAAGGCGCGAAAAAGGCACGAAACAACACGAAAAGTCGCGACAAAAAGGCACGAAAAGGCACGAGAAAGGCACGAAAAAACACGAAAAGGCAAGAGAAAGGCACGAAAAGGCACGAAAAAACATAAAGAAGACATGAAAAAACAAAGAAAAGGCGACAGGACGGCAAATCGCGGCCATGCCCTGGCAGGTCGGGCGAATGCCCGGGGCATGGCCGCGCCCCAAGTGGATCCCCTGGGCCTTCCCCGGAAGCCTGCCCAACTGCCTGGCCATTTCCCGGCATGTGCTCGGCTGCCCGACCTAGGCGCCAGCGACGACGCAAACGCCCGGCGCGGGGTGGAATTGCCCGGGTCGACGCTGCGCGGCGGCCGCCATCCCCCGAAACCACGCCCGAATGGAGCGTATACCGCGTGCAGACCCTCCCCCTGGGGCCCAACTCTTCCACCCGAGCCGCCGTAGCCGCAGCGGCTCCTGCGTCGCCAGCGACCCGATGCGCACCCGGGGCCCCACCAGGCTACGGCACGCACGTACAGGAACCTCCATCCCCAGGTATGTGCGCCCGCACTCCCATTGGGCAACCAAACGCTCAGGAGCGGTAAAGTTCCGGAGCGCGACCCGCCATCCCGACACCTCAAGGGAATGTCGGCGGGCAAGCGGGGGGGGCTGCCGACAGCCCGGCGGGCGTCGCGGGACAGCGCGCGCGGGCGCGCCGACGCGGCCCTGCGGCGGAGCGGACACCCCCAGGAACCACGCCCCCCTGGGACATTCGTCGGAGCTCCCTGTGGGGCCACGGAGCGTGTGAGGGGTGTGCCGAAATGGGGCGGGTACCGCATGTGGGCCCTCCCCTCTGGGGTCTTCGGTGGAGGCGTCTATGGGGCCACGATCCGCGTGAGGGGTGTGCCGACATCGGGTGGGCATAGCATGCGGACCCCCCCGCTGGGGCCGTCGGTGGAAATCCCTATGGGGCCACGAACCGTGCAACGGGTGTGCCGACATGGGGCGGGCACCGCATGCAGACCCTCCAGCTGGGGCTTTCGGTGGAGCTCCCTATGGGACCAGGGACCATGTGAGGGGTGTGCCGAAAGGGGGTGGGCACCGCGTGCGGACCCTCCCCATGGGGCCGTCGGTGGAGCTCCCACTGGGGCCACGAGGTGCGCCGAAATGCGGCAGCACCGCATGCGAACCCTTCCACAGGGGCCGTCGGCGGAGCGCCCTATGGGGCCACGAGCCGCGCGAGGGGCGTGCCGAAACAGGGTCGGCACCGCCGAAACAGGAGGAGGACGAGGAGGAGGAAGAGGAGAAGGAGGAGGAAAGTAACACGCACCAGAAAAACCGACGAAGCGGCGCACCCGCAGCCCCATCTAAATGTCCAAATCCAAAACTGCAGGCGAACATGGCGCAAACATTCTGAAGCAGCGCAGGGCACCTAGCCTTGCGACGTCGGCAAATTGCCCCAACTACCTGACCAAAGCAAAACGTACCCGTGCACTTCTAAGAATCAAAATTCCCACAGTTATTTTTCGCCGCGGGCGCCCTGCGGATTTCCCAGGGTGGGCGCGGGGACTCTTTCAAAGACACAGAGGGCGCTCATTGGAGCCTTTACATACTGGCCATCGGCTGACCCTGCACAACCTTCAAGAAGTCCGGGATGCGCGACCCAAACCTCCCTGGACTCACGGGCGGCAGCCGGGCCCCCATCGGGCTCTCCGGCCAGCTCCTCGCGCAGGGCAGCCGTCATCTCGATGTGGCTCACGTCCGCCGTGTCTTCTCCCCAATCGACTTATTCGTCCTGTTGCGGCTGCTTCTTCTCCTAATCCTCCTCGCCCTCGTCCGTCTGCCTCTCGGTCGTCGGGCTGGCAAAGCCTGGCCCCGACTGCTGGGCCTCGCCCGCCACCGCCCCCCTCCCCACGAGCCGGCTTCTGGTCGACCTCCTCCTTGA